CCTTTGTTCTGGGTGGGAGGACGTGTGTGACAGAGCAATGGGCCTATCCCACCTGGCCTCAAAGGCCATGGTGTTGGCTGCCAGCAGCACAGGCTCTAGCGGCTGTCTACCAGATGGTTTCCTCAGTGTCTGACTTTGAAGTGCCAAATGCAATTAAAAACCCTCGTTCAGAAAACAAGCCTTTCAGTTGCGCCCATATGGTGATCAGCGCCTCTGGGCCTCTGATCATTTAAAGAGGCCAGCTCAGGAGAAAAGCAGATGGAAAGAACTGTAAGATGAGAAGTACCCATAAAGAGGTGAGAAATAAGTATTTAATTTTTCTAGTTCCAAAATCAGTGTAGAAAGGGAAACAATGGCCTGTCAAAAACTGGATTCTTCATTGCGTTCAGACTCGGCATGTGCTGATCAACGGTGGCACCTGTGAACAGGATCTCACTTTCCCACTGGCCAGGGCAATGTTATGCATACTCAGCTGGGCTTCAAAACCGTTTCTTCATGCAGACAAGAATTGAGGTGTTTCTGTGAGGGTATTCTATGAAGATAATCAATAACTACAGCCAGCTGACTTTAAGTAAAGGTGGTTATCCTTGTGATGTGAGTAGCCTTCATCCAATCTGTATCAAAAGCTGAGATTTCCTAGAAATTTGGCCAAGAACTGCACCACGAATTCCTGCCTGTGTTTGCAATCTTCCAGTCTACTCTCTAAATTCAGACTTGACAGCCCCCAACAATTGTGTGAACCAATGTACCACCTCATACCTGCAGGTTAAAATATTCCCAGAAGATATGTGTGCTCATTTATTTTTGAGAAGCAAAACTCTAAGGTCTAGTGATTTCTATTTGCTACTTCCCATGGCTTATTCTTTGATATACTACATTTATTTGTGCTAGTTTCACTGGTCCTGATAAGAAATACATAGCACTAAGCAAAATATCCACAGGTGTTTGTGGACTAAATATTTTCTTAAATTCTTCCAAAACATGTCAGAAAGCAATAAGACATTGAAGCCTGAGTTCAGAGTCACATAACTTTATTTATGGCAAAGTGTTTAGGATTATTTGTAAAATCTGAAAATTTTTATCTAACTGCTCAGTTAATAGTAGACACTATTTCAAATGATATTTAAAGTTTCTGGTAGATGTCTGGAATGAGACTAAGGCTTACTAAGTTGCTCATCTCTGACCCTCAAAGATAACAGTATTGTTCCAGAAATAGACACAGCTGAGCACTTCATTCACAGCCTCCAGACCTGGGACTTCTTGCATTAGGCAGTGAGTTCGGGGAAAATCTGAGAGGAAATGAGGAAGGTGGTGTGCACAAGGGCGAAGGGCTTGCTGTTGCTCATGGGCTTGTTTGCAGGGAAGCGAAGTAGGATGGATCCTGTGACACTATCATGTGCTGAGAGATGCCATGAGGCTCACTTCCTTCAGCAGCTGACTTTCTAGACCAGAGATAGTCTTAGTGGAGCCTCTTTTCAGAGACCTTATGAATAATTACTTTGCCTCCTATGGCTAGAAAATTCCTAAAGGAAAGTCAGCTGCTTACAGAGGATCTATAGTAATTTAAACCCTTCACCTTAGTAGAACATCTTCATTGAAGATACACAGAGTACTTTAGCAATGAGATTGGAAGTAATTTTGAGTTTGGGTTAGGTTTGCTAAGGAGTCAATTAGGTGAGTGTTGTTGGAAGAGTTTGTATTTTTCTCATCCCCACTCCAGAGTGACTTTATCAAAATTAAATGATCCCAACAGAGGTTAAGAGCAGCTTTGCCCTGCGAACTAAACTGACAGCCCCACCATACAGATACATACAAAGGATCCCCAAGCCTCAACTATGGCAAAGAAAGAGAATATTGGCTACAAGCCCTCATGGTGGTAGCTCCCACTATATCAAGGGGACAGTGAGTTGTCATTGGCTAAAGGTCTGACATGAGGTGCTCAGTAGGTGAGATTTTCCATTGCACACTGTCAGATGCTTATGTCTCCAAGAACAGCATACAGGTGGTGCTGCCTTTTTTCCAAAGTTCAACAGAGGTTTTCTTTGACCCTCCTCCTAAGGATGCCTTCACTGTACATCTGCTCCATACACCTGCTCATCTCCAGAGCCCCATTTGCAACAGCAATGTAAGTGGCTCCCGAGCTGTGCAAATTGGTGTTCTTTTCTTCCTTTCTTTCCTTTCCCTTTCTTTTCTGGTGGTCCTTTTTGTCTCATGCCTGTCACTTCTGTTTTTCAGGAATTAGACCTAGACCACTTACCCTTGTCAACACATCCATAGTGTTCCATGCTGTAGTTTCATCTGTTTTTATTTCCGTCTTATCACTTCTCACTCCTGTCATGCCTCTCTCTGCTCTAGGCATTTGATAAGGAAGGATTGGTCAGCCCAGAAAAGGATTCCTTTCCATTGAAGTGTAAATAAGCAGAACTTCTTAGGTGTGTGTGTATGTTTTTCACAAGCACTTCTTTCAGCTTTATGGAAATGCTATCTTCTTACCATCATGTAAATTATGAGTTGGAGGGAGACGTGCTGGCTTTCCCATCTCTTCACGGCCCAGGTCCTCCAGCTTGGGCAACTTCAGTCATGTGTACAGCTTCTGAGATTCCAAATGCTCAGGAAACACTGTAGAATAGTGGAATCAGAGTATCTCAAGGGGAACCCAGCTTTATTAATTATCAGGCCCCCCAAGTGATTGATTATATCCTATCCTCAACAGAAGTGTTATGGCCACTCATCTAACCTGGGACACCAAATTCCAAGTCAAAGAAATTTATTTTATATTTAAAAAGTATCAAAATTTCCCAATCAGAAAGTAGATGTTTTTCAAAAACATACTGTTTACCAAAAAAACAAAAACAAAAACAAATAACACCTAAAGAAGGAAATTACAGAAAACATGGTCTTTTCTTTGTTTACTTTGTTTCGTTTTGGCACTGTGTTTTAAAATGTAAAAGATTAAATGAATTGTTTCACAAATGAATCCAAATATAGCCATTGGACAAAAAATATATATTCATTGTTGTGTTAGTCCCAAATTTAACACAATGTTCAGAGAACATTTCTGCCTGTATTTTTAGCTAAGCATCGAGTTGTTGGTCTGGGAGGCAGTGAGAATTTCAAAATAGTTTGTTACCTAAAAATATACTTCCTGAAATGAACTTGAGGCCTGAAAGGAATGAATGGCTTTATTTTTTTCTTCTATATTTAATGTTACCACAAGAAAGCAAATCTTAAATATATGTATGTTTATATTTTTAGAGACCCAGGAAACAGGTGCTAGGCTCAAACAACAGGGAAGGTTTCAAGGCAAAGTACTGGTGACAGATATCTAAAATTGACAAGAGCAGACAGAGGCATGGAAGGGCAATGAAACCATTCCTGTTGAGACAGAAACACATGCAACACGTAGAGAGCATGGTGGGCTCTGCTCAGCCCATAGTGGGCTGTTTTGGAGAAGTACCTCCCAACTTGCAAAGGGCCAGTGACTAGGCCTGGCTGTGTGAGATCTAGAGGCATCAGCATTCTTAGGCTAGCACAGATTGTGTGTTAATTCATGTTTGTTGGCCCAAGGGTGGTAATCTCTTAATTCATTCAGCTCTCTAGAATTTCTCTGTGATACCAGCACCAACAGAAATGGGTCTCATTGAGGAAAAAGATGGAGAATCAGGCACTAAACCTTTCTTGTTGTTTCTTGGCATGAATATGTATTACAGAAGTAACCTGTCTTCAATATTGCATTGGATGGGGCCGGGGAGATAGCTCAGTAGAATAAGTGCTTGCCTGGCAAGCGCAATGGCCTGAGTTCAATCCCTGGTTCCACCAAAAAAAAAAAAAAAAAAAAAAAAAAAAAAAATATATATATATATATATATATATATATATATATATTGTATTGGATGACTTGAATAAATATTGTGTTTATAACCCTACTCCTTGCCAATCTGAGTGGAGAGTCTGTATCCTTTCCTAATTCGTGTAATGCAGCAAATGTGAACTCGTAATTACTCCTATGTGAATTCATATGTTTACTCATGTATTCAGTAATAACTTTTGCATACCTTCTGAGTGACAGGTGCTTTTTTTTGGTATTGGAGATACAGGATGTAAACAAGATAGACCAAATATTGTGAACTTTGAATTTTGCTGGATAGATTATAGGCAATTAATTATATGTGACCCACATACTTAGTGCACAAGATAGAAGGAGTCCTGTGCTGGTTACTTTCAAGTAGGTGTAGTGACATTTAATCAAAAACCAGAAAATTGACAAGGAGCCAGATGAAGGTACTAGAAAGTTAAAGGCTGGAAGTAGAACAAACTTAGCTTCTCAGAAAGGGTCTGCATGCCTTCAGAGGGGCCAAGTAAGGAGGAAGGGGCTTGGAGTGAAAACAACAATGAATTGATGGGGGCCTTTGAGGTGGGGCCAACTTTCATTTGCCTTTTAGGCTGTATCTTAGGGGTTCTCTGTTCAGTAGAAGAAGAGAGAAGTCATAGACTGGGTTCCTTTGGAAGAGTCCCCTGTGAGGCAGCCTCCTCCCTTTTGTTTTTCACAACTCTACTTGGTTGTGACCTCTTCCTGCCAGTTTGAGTAACGTCTTCTGTGGGTCCCACGTGGTCTGTGCCTTCCTCCGTTTGGGTTCCCCTCCTCTGGATGGTTTCCACATCTGTTCACCCATAATTTCCTAAAGGGCACTTATTTTGTGCTCATAGTACCAAGCACTGCACAGTGGGTCCTTGGGTTGTTTTCATTAAATGAAAAGGTGTATGCATGGAAAGACTGCTTTATGCTAATCATGGACACAGGAGAAGCTGCTGTGCTTCTGCCGTGGCCTCTCTACTATGGCTTTCATTGCATATTGCTCACCTGAGGGCATTCTAATCTTTCTCCATATGCATTCTCATGACATCAAGCTTATTTGGAACTGCATACCGTCTCTTAGAATTCATTGGCAGGCTGCCGTGCTGTTTGTATAATTATTTACTCTGTCTTTCTCTCCCGCCAGTTAATAATGACATGATGGCCACTGAAACCAACGGTGCAGTCAAGTTTTCACAACTGTGCAAGTTTTGTGACGTACGGTCTTCCACCTGTGACAACCAGAAGTCCTGCCTGAGCAACTGCAGCATCACGTCCATCTGTGAGAAGCCTCATGAAGTCTGTGTAGCCGTCTGGTAAGGGAGCCCATAAGCAGTGTCTTTTCTTGGTCCGTCGGGAGTGCTGCATGCCTGGTCTGCGTCTCTCCAAAACTTAAGCCAGTGAGGTGAACCTTTTAGAGCATTTAGTAACAAACAGCTGGATGAGGCACAAATGCTACATAGATATCTATCCCATTTTCTTTCACTTGGACTATCTACCCCTTTCAATTATTAAATGCAGTTAGTTTCTAGAGCCATTTTATGCTTTTCTTTGTGTGTCTGTGTGTTTGTATACGATGACTTTAATGTTTAAAATCAGTCTGCAAAGCCTTCTTTGTATCAAGAATTGTGATGTCCCTTCTCAGTCGTTTAACTCCTCCTCCTCCTCCTCCTCCTCCTCTTCCTCCTCCTCCTCTCAGCACTCCACGTGACCATGGGAGTTTTCTTTCAAGGTACTCCTAGTTCTGCATGGAGGTAAAAGGCTGGCTCTTAGTAAAGAAAAATTGCACATATACAGAAGTTACTAGAGAAGCAAGAAAAACAACCCACTCAGACTCTTGGAAGCCTCAGCTATATTCTCGTAATCATTGGCCTCAACTGGGCTTTCTTTTTTTTTCTTTTCTTTTCTTTTTTTCTGCAGAACTGGGGATTGAACTCAGGCTCTTGTGCTTGCCAAGAAAGTCTTTATTCTACTGAGCTATCTCCCCAGCCCCAAACTTGAGGCTTTTTTTTTTTTTTTTTTTTTTTTAAGTACCGGGGATTAAACTCAAGACCCTGTGCTTGCCAGGCAAGTGTTTATTCTACTGAGCTATCTCCCCAGCTAAATGAGCTTTCTTTTAGATCAGAGCTACTTCTTTTGGGTCAGATTCTGTCCTCTTCCTTTTTGTTTCTCACATGTCCTCTAACACACCTCCCTCCCATATATAAATATCTCAAATAATGTTTTGTACATATACTGGCTGTGGGTACACTTGGGTCATGTTGTACTTAATGGTCGAGGATCAACAGCATGGGTAAGAGGTAAACAACTTTTGCATGAAGGGTTCCAGTTTTATGAAATATGTGAAGTCACTAATAGGATTTAACACTTTACAGATTTATTCAGATATTTCGAATCTATCAGCTATGTATATATTTTTTAAGTAGGTTAAATATTTCCTGGATGATTCACAGACAAAAATGTGAATTCTCTTTTCGGGGAATGAGCTTTTGAGATTTTCTCTAGGCCACAGATTTGCCTCATTGATGGTCTGGAAGCCCTGTAAATTTCCATACACACAGGAAGGTGAACACATTGAATGGAGAAGAAAAAAAAGAAAAAACCACATGTGAATGGAGATCTAAAAGCATGATGTCTGAGGAAGGACAGAGGCAGTCAGACAGGGGTAGTCCAAAGAAGAGAGGCATGCATTCTGTTGAGAGAAATTGAAAGGTTATTGGAGAAAAATGTAATAAACTCGTTTTTCCACCTCGGAAGGGTGGAGGGCAGACACATAACATTTGAAAGTGAATAGATTTGTGCTCAACATGGGTTTAAATGGTTTCTCAATCATAGTGTCCCAACACCAGCCCAGACTTCCTTCTCTGGAAGTCAGATTAATTCCAGAGAAGCTGAATGACTTGAAGAGGAAAGACTGAAAACTGGACTCAGTACCTGTAGAGCTTCCCTCTGTGGCCCTGCTCTCTGCTGCACGTTTTCTCTGACTGTAAATCAAGTCCAAACGATTGAATGGGATGCCGATCTCCCTAGGATAAAGGCTTGGCTTGTTTCAGAAGTGGTGAGCATGTTATGGAGTGGAGGTCCCCCTTTCTCCTTGGTATTGAAGGGAAATATAATGAACACTATTTTTAAATGATTTAAAAACATTTATTATTACATATTTGCAACTCATGGACTTTATAGTCATCTTGCAGAGTGGTTACATGTGCATATTACAGCATGCATCTCTTAAAAATCCCTTTTCCCTTCTACCCCTCCTCCAAGCCCCCATCCCTTTTTTTTGTACTTGTTGATATTTTTTATTTTAGCATATGCTATGCCATGTAGTGTTTACATTAACAAGGCTATTAGACTCTACAAAGTGCTCCTTTGTTACTCTCATTCCCCTCCCCCTCCTTCTCACCCCTCACCCTTGTTTCCACATGGCAAGAGACCCATCCCTGTGTCCCTTACTATCCATCCTTTATCGCTTTCTTCGTTTGTACTTTGCATCGTTCAAAGGACAGGTACCACACCATATTCAAGTTTGTGTGTCTGATTTATTTCACTCAACCGATTTTCCGGGTGTATCCACTTTCCTACAGATGTGTCGCATTTGTCCTTCTTTATAGCTGAGTAGTATTCTGTTATGCATATAGAGGCCACATTTTCTTTATCTAATCTGTTGACGGGTGTGCAGGCTGCCTCCAGTATTTAGCTGTTGTGAATTGGGCTATTATAAACACTGGGCGGCATGTATTTTTGTAGTACGATGACTTCAGCTCTTTGGAGAAGATTCCTAGCAGGGGCACAGCTGGATCCTGCAGAATTTCTAAGTTAAATGGATGCCAATTTTAACCTGTTTTAGCTGAGGCCAATACTCCTGCAAGTGTGAGTGCCGAAAGGAGAAAGGGAGGTGTGGTGGGCCCTGCCACGCACCTCGCTCTCCCTCTCTAGGACAAAGGCACTCGCTTTCTGACTGGCGGTTGCTGAGCGCCACTCCTGGCCCCGCCAAGGAGGTCCCCTGCACAGACAGCAGCCGATTGACCCGTGTTCTATCCTCCTCCTCCTGGCGGCCAGCATCCCACTGTGGCCTAAAGCAAGGGAATAAATTGCCGACCCATGTATTACCTCAAATTGGGACAGCTCTTAAGGATTATTCCAGCTTTAGAACTTCTGTGGGGTCCACAGAAGCCTCTGCTGCACCCGCTACACAGTTCATCTTGTCCCTTTGTGTGGCACTGCTTCTTAGAGGTCCTTCCAGGTACATCTCTGGGAACTTTCTGCACAGAAAACTTTTAAAGCCTCAACATGCATCAGTAGGAATCCCAAACTAGAAAGAGCATTGTCTTTAAAATAGCCAAATATGGAAATGGAGTTACCATGAAGTGGGTTTCAATGCTTTTGTTGGCTTTAGTGTTGTATTCATCCACATTCATTAATTCAGCGAATGTCAGCAGTGTACCCATTCCATCCATGTAAAATGCTTAAGCTTTTTCTCAGGATAGAAATAGTTTTGGAGCCAAGTTTAAGGTCCTTATGCTGATTCTTGCAGTAGATATTCATGCACTGTCTCATAGCTCAGTGCAAACTTTGCGATACAAAGAAATCTGTACATATTTCATGGTGTTTTCTTTTCCTGTACTCAACACTGTGCAAAGATGTTTTGCAAGCTTAGTTCTACCTGGTAAGAAGCTCTTTTACAAGAGTAAGTGGAGAAATCAGTTAAGGTTGTTATCCAGATTTAAGTATTATAATAGTTTTCTGGCTGCAATTTTACTTCTCTAAGCAGCTAGAAGATGGAAAGCAACAGTCTCTGAAAAAGCTGCCTAATGCTTACAGAACAGCTTTATTTCACGGTTTGTAATTCGTTTGTTGGCCTCTGCTTCTCAAGGAGGAATTACCATGGTTTTCTCTGGAAGCAAATTATGCCAACAAAAACCTGCATACCGGTGCATGCACATAAAATTGCCCCATGGCTAAAGGCTTTGCAAAGACTACCTAGCAGATTTGAGGTTCGGGACAGGTAGGTTTTAAAATAGGTACTATGGAATACTACTCTGCTATCAAGAAGAATAAACTTGTGGGAAAATAGATGGCACCTTGGCATCATAATGTCAAGCGAAATAAGTTAGACACACCAGCTTAAGTTTCTCTTGTATGAGAAACCCAAAGTATAAATAAGATAAAGATCAAAATGAGAGATCCATAATAGGAAATAAAGCCAAGAGTGGGAAAGCATGGTTATCATTCTAGCTCTGGGAAGACTGAAACAGGACGTTGGCCATGTGTTGAGGCCAGTCAGAGCCACAGAATGGATATAAGGCCACCCTGAACTACTACATAGTGAGACCCTGTCTCAAAACAAAGAAGAGAAATAGGAGATGAAGGAGGCCAAGGGTTGGAGGGGTACGGAGGGGAAGGAAGGAGAGGGGAAAAGAACTGAGGTGTGTTACATGCATGAACCAGTTCCCCATGATCAATGCAATGATTTCCTGCAAACATGTCCTAATGAAAATGAAAACTAAGAAGACTAAATAGACATCACTTATTGCGTGATCGTGGTGATGCTGACTTAGTTCCTTTAGCTCTGGGATAGCCACCCTCGGGTCAGGTTACTGATTGCTGCTCCTTCTCTAGTAGGAAAACTCTAATGCATTTAGCGAGGGACTGCTCTCTTGGTGTCCCCTGGAGCTTTGAATCGAGAACCCTTGAGCTCTGTCACACAGGGGCACATGTGGGGACACCAGAGCCACTTCTGGGCTGCATGGGCATAATAAATACCAGTGCCATTCCTGGTTCAGCTGCTCTGTTCTTCCCACACTCCTGCTCTAATTATCCCCTTGGTGTCTAGCTGTCCTTTACTGTCCTTGTGTTAAACACTAAGAGGAGGGTACAAGGCAAAGTTGCTCTTCCCCAGAGGGGAAAGCCCCACTGCCTCCCAGGTGAAGGCTGTGACCTAGTTGCTTCTTCCTTCTAGCTTACCTTGCTGTGAGGACTGAGTTTGTGTATGAGTGTGTGTATGTGTGTATGTTACTGAGCGTGCGTGTGTGTGTGCTCATGCACATGCACTAAGAAGTGTCTCACAGAAGACTACCCTTGCAAAGGTGATTGGGCCTGCCACATCATTGAAGGCCTAACTCCGACTTCCCCACCCTTCCTCTGTAGGTCCAGTCTCTAGATACACAGGCTGCCATTGAAGGTGATGGCATTTTCTATCTGAACAGGGCTGAGACAGGAGGGATTGTCCTACTAACCTTGGTGTTGGGCTCAATCAGTTTAGACAGAATGTTCATAAGAAAAGCACAGAGAAGTGTTACGGAGATAACATCCTTTTTCCAAGAATACCCAAGTTTTATTTTGGCTTTTGCAGTTGTAATTGTGGGCATTCGCCGTGCAATTTTTTTTTTTGGTGGTACCAGGGGTCTGACTCAGGACCTTGCACTTGCCAGGCAAGTCCTTATTCCACTGAGCTATTTCCTTGGCTGCTGCATGCCATTTTTAAGTGTTCATTCCATGTAGAGCCAATTGAGCACTTCTTAGGGCCCAAGAAAAGTGCCTTGTGAGATAGTACCTGAACCCATAGCTGAATAAGTCCCTAACTATGTGATGCAGAGGATTATTAAATGTAGACGTAATTAGTTCATGACAACATAAAATACTTTGCTGATCTATGAATGAAAAACATCCTGCAATTCTTTCACATGTTGTTTTTTTTTCCTTGTCTGTTCCTTCCAGTAATTTGAGAAAGTGCCTTTCTGTCTTGAGTATTCCTTCTCATTTTGCTTGCAAACTCAGCTGCCAACATGGATGATGCCCCTTGCCCATGTATGGGCCAGCAAAAAGTAAAGGGGCTCAGCGTCCCCTAGAGACATCCTCTCTAAAGACAGTGGAGAGGACTTGGATGGGCACAGTAAGCTAATGACCTGATGTGAGCCTTGCGGTGCACTCTGGGTATAAGGTTTAAAATTAGCTCAAGTACACAGGACTCTTCTGTTTCCACATACCTCCTTTTTAAAAATTCAAGCACATTGAATGTGTAAAATTCTCTCACAAGACAACCCCTACAGAAAGCTGTCCTATTTATAATCATATGTGAGTTCTGGGGATGAGTAAAGTAAAAACTGAAATGAATATAGAAGGTACAGGAAATTATGGAACATCCTGCTAGTGGTGGAGAACAGAAACCAGCTGCCATTAATAGGAACGTTATGACCAGATTGCTTTTCTACCCAGAGATATTTTATTCATTTTCTTTTTCTCACTCTTTTCTCTCCTCAATGAATTCTGTTCCCTAGGCGGAAGAATGATGAGAACATAACACTAGAGACAGTCTGCCATGACCCTGAGCTCCCTTACTATGGATTTATTCTGGAAGATGCTGCTTCCTTGAAGTGTATTATGAAGGAAAAAAAAGTGCCTGGGGAGGCTTTCTTCATGTGCTCCTGCAGTGCTGATGAGTGCAATGACCACATCATCTTCTCAGAAGGTGAGTTTTCTTCTCTTGGCATCTTGGAGCCTGGTTTCCTCTACCTCAGTCCCTTGTACCCTTGGCCTGTGACCCCATGGAGGCAGCTGAGGCAGAGTGAATCTCTCCAGAAATGAAGACTCTCAGGCCCCAACCCAGACTACTGAGTCAGACATGCTGGAGTGCTGGCCCAGCAAACAATATTTTAGGAAGAAACTAAGAACACTGGCATAAGGATTTGAAAGGGACTGTTTGGTCCGAGCCGGAAAGTCTGTTTTAATTAACTGAAGTGATTTAGGATATATATTCCTAAGATTTGAAAGGCTATTTGTAGTTAAGTTCCTTTGAGAAACTTGAAATGGAATGAGAAAATAATGACCCCAAAGTTTAATCAGGTGTCCACGGGGGACTAGATATTAATCTTAATTTCTGTCTTTTTTTGAGGGGGAGGTCTTTTTGAGACAGGGTCTCGCTATGCAGTTCAGGCTGGCTTTAAGCTCACTTTGTAGCGCAGGCTGTTCTCAAACTCGCCGCAATCCTGCTGCCTCAGCCTCCCGAGTGTTGGGATTACAGGTGTACACCACCATGCCCTGCTAATCTTCATTTTCAAAGTCCAGCACTCCTCAACCTGAGAAGAAAACACACATTGTTCCTTAAATTAAAACAATTGATTCCATTTTTTTATTATTAACTTTATTGAAAATCAATAATAACTGTATAGCAAACTAAAAATTGGAGACAAATATTGAAATGTGAAAGATATGAGGTAGACAGTGAATTTTAGAAAAACCTTTCTGAAATGAATACATAACATGAGCTTAATAATAGATTGCACATTGTAAAAAAAAAATTTACAAGCTTAAATGAATAGAACAATAAAAATTGTCTAAAATGATTATGAAGAAGAGTTTACAGACCACTCATGTAATAGTTCACTCTGCGCCAGAATCAAGAAACTTATATTCATGTAATTAGAATTCTCAAAGTAGAAGGGGGTAGGCAATAAATATTTAAAGATTTAAAATTTCTGAATTTAGTTAAAATTATAGCACCACATTTCAAAAAAAATGTGAACCTTTTGCCCAAGAAATATGAATAAAATCATACCAAGATACACAAAACTGAAATTGCCAAAAACTCATTGTGAAGAAAAAAAATCATTAAAACATATTCATAGAAAAAATATTAGCTATGGAAGAACAAAATTAAATGGCATCTTATTCCACATTAGGAAAAAAAGAGCAAATGGTTAAGAAACTAGACTTATTCATTCAGAGGACTGAAAAATACCTGTCCTCATTGAATTTTATACTTAGCGAACAACCTTTGCAAAATAAAAGTAGAATATTTTCCAGTTATACAAACTGGATGGTTTTTAATTACAAATATATCAGATATTTTTATCAAAAATTCAGATAATCTAGCAATATATCAAAGTTAACAATTAAAGTACAATACATTTTTCTTCTCAGTCCCAACCCAAAAGATGTTCTATGTCGATAGTTTGTTAAATGGATCTTTCCTTGGTGTTATTATCTCTCCTTTCCTCTACTCCTCTTTTTCCTTCCCCTTACCCATCCATTCATCCATCTTCATTGAAAATATTTGCTCATACTTTAAATGCTATGTTTATATTTTTTTTTTTCAACCAACCCCTATCACATCTCTTTCTAGACATCACAGTACATACAGGTAACTGTGGCGTGTTGTCTGGAGTTCTGTATGTGTTGTCGTTTGTTCCTGATCTAACTTTCCCTGTTGACAGGTATTTTAAATGTTTCCAGTTTGCTGCCTAGTGTTGCATTGAGTATCTTTGCAGAAAAAAAAATTATACTTTTGCCAATATTTCTCCATGACAGATTGCCGGGATGAAATTTGTGAATCAAAGTTACTCATATTTTAAATGTGGATAACCACTGCCAAGATTTTCTTTTTCTGAAAGAAGCTTCTGAGTATATGGGTTTTGTTATACTTTGTCTGATAGTAGACATTTTGATTTTGCGGATGTGATAGCAAAAAAGTCATTTTGTTGGTTTTGGCAAGGTAGATGCAGAGTGGGGAAGGATTCATTTAGACTGAAGGAAGTCTGATTCAATGGAAACTCAACTGAATCGCACGTGACACGTCTGCGTGCGCCTCGCTGGAGAGTGCCGTGGTCTCGTGGTGTGTGTGTGGCGCCCAGCAGCGCTGCCCGCCCAGCCCCTTCTCGGTGTGCGTCCTCCACTCGCTTTGGTCTTGCTGCTTGCTGCCCAGCTCCATGCCTGCGCCACCGTCTCCGCGCCCACAGCAGGCCTGCGCTGGTCTTGACCGCGCCGCCTGCCCCACGCGGCTCTCCACCTCCTGGTTTTCTCATGTCATGATCCCACTACTTCTCTAATGTTCCTTACATATTTGCATTATGAGGGAAGAAGTATAAAGAGATGAAAGCCAGATCGAAGTATGATATCCTTGATATCCTGGCTTTACTTGTCAACTGTCCTCGAGAAGGCCTGGGCCAAGCCTAGTAGAAAATCCAAGTGGGTTTGTGGCCCTTTACACAACTTTTCTCTCTTCTTGCATGCTGGCATAGTGAAGAGGATGTGTCATTCATAAGGACAAAACAAGCAGCCAGAAGGTGGATGTGTATTTTACAATGAGCTCTTCAGATAATAGTAATTTTACTTTTCAACATTTTTCCATTCAGATGAGAATCATAGATATTCATTCATATTTTCTCTCTTATTCATTATCAGAGTAATCTTTCTTTGCTTGTGGAGTACAGTAATCAGAATAAAAGCCATTTCTGACGGTACAGCTTGGGATGGGTGATTTCTAAATTACTCCAGGGCTTGATAGGGCGTGGGGGTGGGACGTTTGCTTTTTAAACATCTCTTCTCTGTGCTGGTCTATTCCTCCCCTAAAAACAGCAGATATAAAAAGCAACAGTTCCGTTTGCCCTCTAATTGTGGTCACCTGGTCTTTACACTTGTTAAGTGATGAAAACTCTTAAAATAATTAGTTTTGCTCCATACAAAGTCGAGTAAGATGGTGAGCAGGACTGCTATGACCTACATCACTCTCATTAGTACTACGATACTACACTGTGCTTGTGGCTAGACCTCTGATCTGCATCCCCTCCGCATGTCGCCTTTCCAGCCAGCCTCTGGACTGGTGGCTTCTTCTGCATCATGGATCAAAGAAGTACGGATTAGAACTATGTTTTGAAAAATATGTCCATACTGAACGTCTACATTTTGTCTTGTCACTATTCCCTAAACAATAGATATAACAATTTTCTGAATGGCTTATAGTAGATATTATAGTAACCTAGAGATGAATTAGAATATATAGAAGGATGTGCACCAGTTCAATGTAAATAAGAGGTCTGAAAGAAAAGTATGGTGTGGGTTTAAATTAAAAAAAAAAATTATTACAGTAAAAGGCACTTTGCCTTTAGTGCCCCTCTAACTTCTCTTCCTCACTTTGAACGGATGTGTCCCCCATTCTCCATTCTCCATTCTGGAAGTCCTGTCAGGGGCGTCTGTAGTTGTGCCGGTGGCTGCCTTTATGCCCCAAGTGGCTTCACATTTGCCTTCATGGTCATTTTGACTCTGAGGGACATCCAGAAGTCACATGGTGCTGGATCTGATGAATACGACGGAGGAAGACTCACAGGACTGTGCAAGCCTGCTTTTCCTTTGGATGGCACTTGGCAGCAGCATTCACCATGTTTTTAAGTCACATTTGGCAAAGACCCTTCCAAAAGAGGACTTCTAGACATACTTCAGAAGGTGGCAAGATCAGAGGGATTGGAGATAGGTGTTCCAACTCAGGGGGTGTCTTGAGGGAGATTAGTGCATTGCCGTGTGTTTTACCATAATCAATTTTTAAAGACTTTAAAACTTCACCTTAATATTCAATCAACCCTCTAGCACACCATTTTCTATCACAGACATTCCCTGTGGGGAGTTTTGGTATCCGTAGGTGGTTCTGAAGCCCATCTGTCACAGAGACCAAGGGACAACTATATGTGTGCTTATCCAGCTCTTTATGTAAGGAGAAAAAGCTGAGTCCCAAGGCTTGTTCTTAAAAGCAGATTTTTATTTTCAGTACTACCATTGATGACAGCTACTAAGCAAGGGAAGCACAGGGCTACTGTGTTCCTCCCTGCCCAAGGCGCGGTCTTCTTTCTCTCATGGCAGCCCTGGTGGAGAAGAGCTGTGTGTGAGAAAAGAAGTTCAATGCTTTGTCCAGGGTCAAACAGCTAGTGGGTGATAGGACAAGGACTTATCATGGGCTATGTGTGAAAGTTAGTTTCTCTCTCTCTCTCTCTCTCTCTCTCTCTCTCTCTCTCTCTCTCTCTCGTCTTCTATTTCCTCTCCTCTTCCTACCTCTTCTTCCCACTCTCCCTTTCTTCATTTTATTTTCTTCTTTCTCTCTTTATACATCTTTCTATACAGAGATAAGAACACTCAAACACTGAGATAGTACATCCTTTCATTATATCCCCAGTCACCCTGCTCCTCTGGGACCGCGATTAACAGGTGATCATTCATCCTTTCAGAGCGATTTTTCTGTGTAGAATGATGGATATATATTGAATGTGGCAAAGTATATCATGGAGATGATTTTAAAACCCAGATTCATTGATACATAATTTTTTTCATAATTTATTTAAAATAAAATTCAGTCTTTTAGAAAATGCAGTTGGTAAATTGTGGTAAAAGTATGCAAATTTGTAACTCCTAGAAAATCAAGAGAGAGAACATTCTGCAAAGGTGCAGCAAATTCCCACATCCCCTCTACACTTACCCATGGGATTTTTGTGTTTCTTTTCAACTTAGTTTATTTTCTTCCTGTACTTTGTGTCTTCCAATTAAAATATTTAGCCAAAACCATGAGGTTAATCCCCTGAAGAACAGATTCTGGAGGTGTACCCCAACCCTGTGACAGATCAGGTGTTTTCCTGTGTCCCTAGATACCCTAAGCTGATCTACAAAGAGGATTGAGAAATGTCCTTCCAACTTCAGTAGAAGTGGCAG